AGCCCAGGCTTGAGGGTAATTGAATTCCACAACTATTAGATCCTAACAATACCCCTTGGTCCCAAATCCGACATCCACGGCAGTCCACTCCAAGACGACCTTCGCTTTACCCGACTGGCCCCTTCTTTGGCTACTGTTGTTCAGTACTTCGCTTGGGTCGCCCCTTCTAGGATTCGAACCTATGACGTGGGTTTGCTTTGATACCAATTGATGGGGGACCTAACCATCTCTCCCAAAAGCCCCGGCTTGAGGTGATTGAATAACTATTAGATCCTAACAAATTTCTACTAAACTAAGGAGATGGGAAATCTAGGGGAAACACTTCTCTACAAATAAGAAAACCTCTCTCTCCTGTCCCTAAAAATGCACCAAGGAATGAAGATCTACTATATTCTCCCCTAGAGTCTGAAACAACTTTCTCCATAATTCTCCTGCACTTAGCAATGTACTGTAAAAAAGTTGGGCATCGGTTTCATTACGCGATCTGTGCATCAAATAAAACATCGCAAGAAGGAATCTTGTAGGCTTCTTAGCCTGAAGGAAATATTTAGTATTAAGCCATATTATAGCAATCCAGTCCAAAGCTTGTGGATATCTCTTCGAGCAATCTTTCTTGGCTTTTGTATCTTCTTAAGTTATTACATTTTTCCAAACTGAGTAACTATGCTCAAATATGTTCCTTATTTTCAAGGTCGCAGCTTGATTGGAAAGTGTTAATTTATTTTTTGTTTCACTGATAAAATATAAATTTTCGTTTTGATACTTTTTCTCATCGTACCTTTCCTCTAGACATGACCTGGAGAGAGACCTATACTATTTCATCAGATGTGTAATATATGATATACTTACCAGTGCCCTCGACTTCCTAATTTCATAGACACAGGAAATAAACGTCATCCATATGTGGATGGTGGTGGGTATGACCTAGTATAATACTAATTGATACTATTAGACTTGCATGCCCTTGCTTACCAATTGAGCCACTTACCAACTTTCATAATTTTGAGTACTCGGGGGAAATGAGCTGAGCCTATTGCTAGAAGAGCCTGCCTGCCAATAAGTAGCCCAAACTGGCTTGCTGCAAAGGGGGATTAACTGAATACCCAAAAGGACCAATACAAAAGATGTGATCTAACTTGGAACACTTGGCTTAAGCCATTCAACTTTATGCCTAAACTCGTGAACTTTCTAAACTGCACCCATTAATGAATGTAGTACTATCCTAACCTCATAAATCTGAATTTAGGTTCATCCAAATCTCTGAATGTGACATTCTCATGTCAGCTTTTCTGTAAGAGTCTATTGCTTGAAGACCCTTCTCTACCTGCAACTGCTGGGGAGAGTAACTGAAAACCACAAAAGGACTAATATATAAGCTGTGATCAGAACTGGAACTCTAAGTTTAAGAGACTCATTATTTCCCTAAACTTAAGTATTTATTTTTCTAATTCACTCGCCTCAGGCAATATAGGACTTCCCCAATCTCATAATTCTGAAACTATGCTTAATTGATTATTTGAAATAATACTCTGGGGGCAACAAGAAGGGTAATTAAATATAGACACAATATCAGAAATACCTTCACACTTAAAACATTACACATTACACATTACACTAACATTTTCTATTTCTAGTTTTGATTTATATATTCACCACCACTTTTTGAGCCGTAAAATGAGGTTGATATACCTAAATTTCTCTTGTGAAAGTTGAAATTTTAACAATTAGTTGTAGTTAATTTTTCAAAGCAAACTATTTGAGCTCAAATTGACACGTTATATGCGAAGCTCACATGATATAATCTAAATTTAATCATATAATTTACTTATTTTGTTTGTGAGTTGTATTAATTTCCAGAATACATATGTTTATATACATATATAGCCCCCGTTTGGTAAAAATTAAAATTCAGATTTTAATCTAAATAAAAGTCAATAACTAATTTTAATCATACAATTTATGAGATTCACAATTTTTCAACTACACATTTTATCAACTTTTATCAAAATATACTAAAAATCTAATTTTAATATCCACTAAACAGGGGCATAGTATTTAATTTAGCACATTGAAGGTGTATAACATATTAATTAACTAATGTATACTATCTATTAGCTAAATTTTTTGTGTGTATGTGTGTATAAGTTTGCAATTATTAGTTTTTGAATTATGTATAATGATTTATAATTAATTAAAAAAACTTAAAATCATTTATTACCAAATTCTTCAATTAATTTTAAGTTTCGATGTATGCATATTCGGAATTGTGTATGGTCAAAGTCTTTAAGTACGAACTTATTATTAAAGGGAACAAACTAGATTGCAACTAATGGTGAAAATTTTAACTTTTCTTTACAAGGACATTATAACAATCTCATTTTAGATGTATGAATATTGATACTTGAAACTAGAAATATAGGAGATTAGTGTGATATCAAACCTGAGGAGTTGTATCTCATATTGTCTCTTAAATATATCCTTCTGTTTTCAATCACGCTAGCTCATTTTTTGATTGTTTAGTTGCCATAATATTTCACGGTTTGATCTTATTTTCAACTTATTCAGAAGCATTTGTTTCATGGACCCAGGTTTCATAAATCTGGAGGTTCCGAGGAAATTCCACTAAACTTTGCACTTAGTATTTGGGACAAGATTGAAAATAATAGGTCTTTCAACCTGGATTCCCTGGAAAATGTAAGTGTTACGGGCTTCATCATATTTGACCAACTTTGGCAACAAATGATGGTTCATTGCTTTGTATTACTTACATTATTATTTGTGCTCATGACTTGGCATGTAATCAGGAACTTCTTGATGCAACAATGATGGCAATGAAGCAAGCTGTTGGAAGCTGCTCAGAAGGAAGCCAGGAGAAAATTATTAATAAAGCTCTGGGGGTACTTTTGTCAAGCAATTGTTTGCAGTGGATGGAATCAATATCTGGTAATACTCCATCAGAAGCGGAAGGGTTGCAGCAAATTCACAAGTTGGACAGTTTTGCAATAAGAGATGAATGGATTACTTCGTTATTTGCTTCTATAGTAATAGCCTTGCGTCCTCAAACATATATCCAAAACGGAAAATTTATTTTGCAGTTTTTCATAACAACTCTCCTCAATGGACATGTTCCTTCGGCTCAGGCGTTGGGTTCTTTGGTTAACAAACTGCCTCTGAAAATCACTGGAACACCTTTGTCCAAAAATTTGTGTCTGGATGAAGCCGTGGATATGATATTTCATAGTTGCATATGGACTTCCTATAATGGTAGCACCTATGAAAGAGGTAGTAGTGAGATTGACTTGAGCAGTTTAAGATTATGCTCCTTGAGCCCAGAGTCAGACAAGATTCATGCTACTATTGGATTAGCATGGATAGGAAAAGGATTACTTATGAGGGGTCACGAAAAGGTGAAAGATATAACGATGACTTTGTTAAATTGCATGATCTCGGATGGGGACCGTGGGTCCCTGCCAAATTCGAAGCATCCAAGTTTAGTTTGTAATGATGAAGACTTGCATCATCAGCTGATGAAATCTGCTGCAGATGCATTTCATATTATTATGAGCGACTCTGAATCGTGTTTGAATAAAAGATATCATGCAACTATACGACCGCTCTATAAGCAAAGATTCTCCAACACCGTGATGCCCATTTTATCTACTTTGATGCTAAAATATGATTCACCATCTATCAGGTGAATGTGAATGCGTCTCTAAAATATTTGCATGTTTATAAATTCATTAGGATTTTCAAATTCAGCATGCCTTGGTATTCATGAATGTCCTGTATCTGTATATTTACTTTCTGTTCATTCTGCCCAAAGTCTTTACATGCGGGTGTATAAAGAGCCCGTGGCTTCCTGGCATCATTGGAAAGCTCTATGTGCTCCAGGTTTTTGTTTAGATTAACTTTATGTATTCTGTGAACAGTATGCTGTTGTGGTTTGTTATATATCATGTGTTGTGGTTCGTAATTATCACTGGTTCGCCTGAGTTGGTTCATGTGCCCTGTAATAACCATTGTTGAAGTGGAAGCTTTGCGTTCTTGTTTAAAGTAGGCTGTCCAAGTGTTTTTAACATTTTCTTATCAATAGTTCCTTCCCTATTTTATAATGTGGCCATTTGCATATTTATCTGAAAAACCAAAATTTTGCTGTCTGTCTTTTAGATCTGTGCTCTCTCTCTTTAATTCTCCTCTATCCTAGAAAATGTCTTCTTTTCTTTTGGATTCTATTTGGGTTTTTAATCAAAGTGTTCTTCTTTGACCGCTCATGTAAGTAATATGTGGTAATCTTGAGAGTTTTCAATAAATGACCTTCCCCAGTACCCTGTGATGGCTGTTTGTCCAGGCCTATATCTTTTTAAATCAATGGATAAATGAACTTCCGAATTTCCATATTCTCCTTTCGATGCCTTATCAATCAAGCATCTCTTTCAGATCTATGCTATGTCGAGCCATTGCATATGTGGTGTCTGATACTCCCTTGACAGCTATCTTGAGCGAAGCCAAGAAGGTTAGCTCGGTTCTTCATTGCTTCAATGCAGAAAGTCAAAACATTCTCGTATTATTAGCTCCTTATATCTCTACTCATGATGTCTATTCCAACATATGGCTTCTAAATGCAGCTGATCCCTCTACTATTAGATTGCCTGTCCATGATGGTCGAGGATATTATGAATAAAGAAATAATCTACAGTGTCTTACTAGTCATATCTGGAATATTGGTGGACAAAAATGGTGAGATTTCAGATTGAGGTTTATTTTGATCTCTTTTTTGATACTTTTCAGAAGAAAAAATTAGTACAATATGCATGCTTCTATGTATTGTGAAGAATCCTATCTCCATGGGAACAAATTCTAATCTAATTCATTTGTAAAACTCAAGTATCATTGCATGGTTGGGGATTCAAGCTGATGCTGTTAGTGCAACAAAATATGAATGGTAGAGACTCTCAATATCACACCATCCTCTCCATCATCACCAAATGTAGAGGGAGACAAATGAAAAGAAACGAACAGAGCAAATGAAATTATGTGAAAAATAATTTATTTATTTATTTATTTTTTTTTTGGAAGTTCTTGCTAATGAGATGCATGCAATGATTTCTGGCTAGGACTTGAACAAATAATGATCAGATGACTTTAGAAATCTTTTCTTTGAGCTGGTTGAGATGATATTCAATTACTTTCTTTTCTTTGGGAAAGTTAGAAAATTGTAATTTTGGCCTGAAGCTTCTTGTTAGGGTAAACTCCATTTTCAGATAGTCAGTATAGACAAGCTATAACCCCAACCAAATGTAATTATCTGTAAATAATTCCTTTTACCTATGAGGAATTGAAATGGTGTCTCGGTTGAAAGTGTATTAGCCAAGAATGACTGTTGGTAAATGCCTTGTATACGTTCTTTATCATTTGATTTAATTTTGCCATCACAAATTTCGATTGTCACTTCCAATGTTATAGATACGGAGGCATATTTTTCTCCATCATTTGGTAGGTTTTGGAAAATATGCCTCTCTCCTCCATTAGTCTAATTTTCCACTAAATTGCTGTTGCAGGACAAGATGCGGTTGCAGAAAATGCACATAGCATTGTCAACCAGCTTATTGAGCTTACAACCTACCCACACATGATGGTATGAGTATTCTTCAAATTTTTCCCTGATAATTTCCTCCCTTTCCCTCTCTACCAGTGGAAAGCAAAAAGATTATTATATCACTAATGGCCTCTGAATATGTATAAAGGAAGGGTAGCTAACTTGATTCACATTGAAAAGCTTAAGCTGCCACATGCATTCATTTAAGTTCTTTCTTCAACTTTGAATTGGTACAGAGTAGGAAGAAAAATGAGTATGCCAGATCCCGCATTTAACTTTTCTTCAATATTCCAGTGCCTTGCTAAATTAGTTTTAATAACTGGAATGGTTTAAATGGGTATGTGCCAAATCTCCAGTGTCGTTGCAGAGCTAATATTTGCTCATCTCATAAACAAGTAGTTGAGAGCTGGGACTGATAACTTGTCTTTGTTAGATTTGGAGACGTAATCTACTAGCCTGAGAACCTGTTTGTTTCACTTGATAAGGAATTTTTTGTAAACTTCAAGGCTCTTCAAATAGTTAGTTTTGAAAATGTAACCTATACTTTTTTCACTTTTAAATATAGTGATTTTCCCCCCTCTGATCATTATTTTTTGCTATTTCAACGAAACATCAGGAATGTATTGATTGTATGATGAATGTCAGATTTAAATTCTGGGGTAATGTTCCTCAACTTTTTTAGGTAATTCGAGAGACAGCAGTACAGTGCCTTGCCGCAATATCTGAACTACCCTATACAAGGATATATCCCTTGAGAACACTGGTATGATTATTATTATTATTTGATTCCAATTTAGAACGATCAATTATGAGCAACTTTCTAACTTGAAGGGAAAATGTAAATATTCTTGGTCCTATATAAATAATAACTATTCCCATTGCTTCATTCCACATGATTGAGTCAACTTACTTGATTAAGGCTGCTATTCTATTTTCTCAATTCCACCCTCTTCCTCGTTACATTTAAAAGTTCATACCTTCAAGTTATGCCATCAAATTTTGCAGTTCTCTGAAAGTAAAAGTTCTGCAAGTTTTGTCCAAGTTTAAGTTTTTACCTTCATGTTTAGGTTTTGCGAGCTATGTTAAAAGCACTTGATGACCCAAAGTGGGTTGTTCGTCAAGAAGCTGTCAGATGTCGTCAAGCTTGGTAACATTATCTCTTATTTTACCGATGGTTTGACTTCTATTCGATGAAGTAATCCAGAATACAAAATCTGTTCATCAATATTGATGTCTGTTTCCTTGTCAATAGGGCCTCGATTGCATCAAGAAGTCTGCACTTCTAAAAATATCAGGAAGAATTTTCCAGGCTGGGATGGTAAGAGGTTCTTCGCGCTTATTATATAAATGACATTTTAGATTTGCTTTTAAATTCGATGATTATAGCATGAACTTGAGTGTGCGTTCTTTTGCAGCAATTCATCGTTAGATAAGGGCTTGTGATGAGACCTTGAAAGCATGTATGGAGCAGTGGTTCCACCAACTGTGCCCATTTCTTAATCCGTGTATATATAATGGCTCCCCCTCGAAGCATGTTTTTATTCTGATTGAGAAGTTATTGAATAATTCTGAGAGACGTTAATTGTGTAATTTATTAACAAGGAAAATTATTTCTTCTTTGAAAGAGAGTTCAATTTTATTTATTTATTTTTAAAGAATATTAATAAAGTCGCTAAACTCTAATTTTGTTTTAATTTATTTAATACTGCAATTGATGGGATTTTCCTGGGATCGCATAGAAATTGGATGTTGGATTAAAATCGGATTGAATTTCATAGGATCTCCGTGGACCATGAAGGTGCCACATCATCAAAAGCTATGAATCAACCATAGAATTTTTTTCCGTAACCTAAGTGTTTAGCACCACCAGTATAGATGATAATGTGTATTAAAAAAAAAAAAAAAAAGGTTGAATCCCATCCTTGAGGGTTCCCACCGCTCCGTCCCTAGAGTTTTGTGAGGGAAATAAATTGCGGGATGTGCTTCAGCAAGCCAGGGAGCAAGAGCTGTTAGTACACTGCGCCTACAAGGAGTCTAATTTCATGTCTCAGGATTCGAAACCCCCACATTACGACTACAAGCAAGGCGTGAGTTAACTTCACTCTTGTTCTTTACATCACTGGATTATGATAATGTATTTGTTGTTATTAAATGATGTGTAAAGTTTGAATACAAACTTATAAATAGTTTATTAATTCAATCGAAGTCAAATATTAATTTTCATATATAATTAATAATTGTTCATTGTTATTAACACATTTTGTGAAATGCATTTTTGTTGTTATTTTTATTTATAATCATATTTGGCTAGGTAGCATTATTCTTAACTAAATGATGTGTAAGGGTGCATGATTTTCTCAACATATTAAAAAAAAAAAAAAAAAAAAAAATATCGAATGTCGTTCTTGTATTTTCTTGTTCTTTGAAAGAGGAGGATTTTAATCCCGCAAACTCAGGTCATCAGTTGATAAGGCTTTAGCTCTTGTTTGGCTCTCGTTAAATTTCATTATACATTTAATTTTTCTCTCTCCTACTTTTAACCATACAATTTTTATAAAATAATATTATAAATTGAAAATTTTTCTTTCTTTTTTAATCACTCATTTTTAAAAAAAATATTATTTCACTCATTTTCATTTCTAGAAAATGGGTGCCAAACGGGGGCTTACTCTTGGCATTTGAGTTAGATTTGAACATGTAAAGATTTTAACCTTAACCTCAGTTACATGTTAAAATCATTATATTGTAGTTTCGGCCTTTGTGCATTTTTGTCATTTGGTCTAGTTTTAATGAGATTCGATGATGTAAAATCTAATCAATTGCATTAATACATTTAATAGAGTGATTGAATTTAAAATAAAGTTTTTTTTGAATATAAGTGTTTTCTATTTTAAAGAGTTAACGTTTAAAAATAACTATCTATTTTAACTTTTAAAAATAAAAAGTGAGTTTGACAATCTATTTTTACTTTATAAAATTGCATTCAATATTCCACTTAAATTATTCAAATCACGTTTGAATTGATTCACATTGGCATATAAAAAGTTTATCTTAAATAAAAGTTGAGGAGAAACCAATAAATAATTCTTAAGAAAAACAAGATGAAGAACTAAAATAGAGAGCATTGTTAGAGTTTATAGAAAATTATACTCTCTAAATTTAAACTACTCTATGCATAAGATGTTGTTTGTAAATTAAGTGTCAATTATAAATGCTCTAAATTTAAAAACTTGATAGACTTTTTAGAGTTGGAGGACCCAATTGAGACTTGTTCAAAGTTGGGTGACCACCAATAAAATTTACCATAAACACTTTAGGTATAAACTTATGCTTGAAACCGACTCGAAGGAGAGAATGATTAATACCGATAAATTCGCAAAGTAGGCATTTCATAAGCTACGTGAAATTCAAATTGATTGTTACCGTTCACCCTTTTCGAACTAACATATACGATGGTAAATTTTTATCAATTTATGCGGTCTTCACGTGACTTTGCTCAAGCGATCTCTTCTCAAATAGTCTTGATTGAGCTCAATTTTTATTTTAATTCATTTTTCTCTTTCATTTTAACCACACAATATTCAATAAAATAATATTACACGTAAATTCGATTTTTTTTTTTCTTTTTCAATCACACATTCTTAAAAAATTACTATTCGAAAATACATTTTTCCCTAAAATTTCATTAAAATGAAGGCTTAAGTAGGATTTATGCCATTTTTACGAACACTTTTAAACTTGATTTATAAAGATAAATGCTCAAAATCCCACTAAACCAACGACATGGTTTATATGGGTAATCAAGCTATCTGGTTGGGGGAGGGTTTGACACTTTTTCCCACATGGTACTCATAAGTCACAAATGGGGTGGGGGTGCACTTTTTTGGGTATTTTTTTTATTCAAGTGGATTTTACTTGGAGTCCACACGGATGTGAATGCATGTCAACCAACATGTTAAATACATTATGGGAAAAAAGCTTTATTTTCCATATGGGGTGGGTCAATTTCATTTAAATAAAGAAACTTATCATCAAACCAAGTAAAGAGTGAGCGAACACAGAGTAACACAGCTCCCATTTGTCCCCACGAGACAAAAACGAGAGGCAATCGAGTGTCTAGCAGATGAAGCTATTTCTACCCACCTCTCATCCTTCATTTCACATCATTTCATAGGATAATTCTCACAATAAAACAAAAATAACTCGCATATATTCATACAATCGCTATAATCTTGACAAATCACACTACCGTTACTATTTCTCAAAATCCATTTCAAGATTTTCATTCGAAGTTAGAAAATCTTAATGGGTTTTTCTGATTTAGCTTAATTGAGGATATAAACGATAATGTTGCCTGTTTGCTCAGCATCCACCAGCTGCTCTTATCATTCACGGGTGAGATATTTTCTTTTTGAACGTTGGAATTTGGAATTTCACATTTTCATGTGTTTTTGGGGGCATTTATTTGATTTTGGGTTGTACATTGTTGTAAGTTCTATCCCTATATAAGACCGATTAGGTAACATTGAGATTAGATGAGAAAATTGGATTTACTTGATTCGGAGGTCATTGAATTTGATTAATGTAAATAAATATTATAAAAGGATTTCGTTCATGTCATTTAATACCTGAATACTGAGATCAATATGATAGTTTTCCTAGAAACATGCTTGTCTCAGTATGTAAGTTTTCAATTTTAGCTCCAAGACTGGAAGATAATTAACCTGTGAATTTGGGACGTGTAACTATAAATGTTGAATCTTTTATGGAACTTTAGAACTTGAAAATCTAAATTCCTTTATTGCCAAGATATTCCCTTCAAATCACCGAGAGAATTATTAAATGCGGAACATAAGTTGAATCACTGGTTTGTATCTTGAATATTGAACCTTGAAGCTTGAATTAGAATCCTTAAATCTTGACTTCTGGATCTTTAATATTGATTATTGATCGTGGATTCTTGAATTCTTCAATCATTCTTCCTGATACTTGGATTCCTTTATGCTCCTATTCAATATGCTTTCTCTATTAATTTTCGTGTCGTTGGGATGATACAGAGAATGAGAAATTGCGTATGAATTGTGGACCATAACTATATATATAATTTTCATATGTATTTCGTTTATCAATACAATTCTAAAAAAATTTGGTCTCTACATAAATAGTCTAACCCATATTTTATTTATATGCCCAAAGCCCAATTACTTAATTCTTTATTACATCATTTTAATTTTGAGCTTAACTTTAAGATAACATTATATACATTTAATTACATATGTAGGGCTGCGTAACAAAGTAATAATTTTTCCCAATAATCTCCCACCTAGGCCGCATATGTTATCTTATAAATTTGAGTTCAAAACTTTTGCTATCTTAACCAAAAGTATCTTCGAACAATTTCGTTCATCAATTATTTCAATATAGGATCAACGCAGTCTTCGTTACAAGTATCATAACTAAACGTATCAATGGTCTCGTATATCAATACAATCAAATAACATAGATCAAGTGTGGATGTGTAGCGTGGAAATTGCTTGTAATCTGATCCAAACATGTTTATTTCCAATTGGTCCTACCTTATTCTTTAATGAGATCAGCCTTAAACTTTAATTAGAGTAAAATTGAACCGAATACTTTATTTCTAAAATAAACCGAATATTCACATATAAAAATGCGTCTACAACAGAAAAGATCCGAGTACAAACTCTCACTAAACTGGCATATTATCAAAAGGTGCAAAGTAAATCACAACTATAATTAATAGTTTTCTACTACAATTATGTTTTATCTTTTCTAGGATTTTATCTTTTCAATTATGTTTAATTTTTTTTACTTTTCTTGTATAGTTGTGATAGGACTTTATCTTTTATTTAATTAGGATTATATTTTCAATTAGTTTCAATTTTCTAATACTATTGGAAGTAAGGAATAATCTTGCTTGTAAATATAGGGGTATTATCTACTTTCTATAACAAATAATCATTATTTAATTAATACAAAGCAAGTTATTTCAATATATTTCTTATTTCAATTCTAATTATAAGAATTTCATAAACTTTTGCACCAAAGCGGATCCATAATTGTAGAGTTTTTCCTAATGTGTTTCATAGAAGCCTGAACACTTTGAATTCTTTTCTTAACAACTAGGAACTTAATGTTTGTAAACTTTAACATCATCGAGTTCCTGTTGTAATACAAGACTGTAATTGTCATAGGATAACTTAAGTAGTCTTTCAATTCCATCTAAAATAAGCAGCCCAGTGATAAAATTTCATAGTTATATTCCATGATCAAAATTAGAATATCTAATAATCTCTAATTGGTCTGATTTTCTTGAATGAAATCATGTAATCCTTAGTTCCCTATAAATACCGAATAACCCAATTGGCTGCTTTCCAAATATTCATCCTAAAGTTACCTAAATATTTGCTCAACATTCTAATGGTGAATGCTATATCCTGATGTGTGCAAACCTGAGCGCACATTAAACTCCCAACTATTGAAGCATAGGAAATTTTATGTATTTCTTCTTCTTTAAGTTTATCTTTAGGGCATTGATTGAGACTAAATTTATTTCCATTAACAATAAGGGTATCACCTGATTTACATTCTTGCATCCCAAATCTCTTAAGAACCGTATCGATATA